GTGTAAATACTAGTCATTACCGTTTAAGCTTACGTTGTCTCGATATATATCATAGACTGTGATGTCAGCCATATGTAACTGGAGGGGGTTTGCTGGAAAACCTGTTGATCAGCCGATCAGTGTAGCTGTAACAGTAAACTGTTCCATTAAAGTTCATGTAAAAAAAGTGTGATTTCCTCAGTCAGCCACCAGATGCTGCTGCACCCCAAGAGACAAAAAAACAACAACAAAGCAAGACACAGCTGTGAGACACCAGGGGGCACAAGAAGGTGCTGTTAATGGTTTCATTTTTTCAACAAATTTAGAAATAATAATACATAAAACAAATAAATACCATAAACGAACGTCAATAGTTATATCTAAAAAGTTTGAAAAAAACAATTATCCGCTTTAAAGGTTGATTTGTAATGCTGGCTTTGAGTCTCAGAGGAGGAGAAGGGAGGAAAGTTTTCACAGTTGAAGTGAACACCACCAACTCATGTGAGAGGAAATAAAGAAACAAAAGTTAGTAGTTTTATAAGGCCAGAGCCCTTTGTGTCTCTCTATCCAGTCTGCGCTGACTGCTGAAAAGAGTCTAGACTAATGGCTTTGCTGGCATTTCTGCAAACATTTGACAGTAACATGGCAGTTGGCAGGCGGCCTAAGGAAGGCCAACGACCTCCAGGGAGTCGTAGAGAAGAAATCAGGATCTTAAAGAGACAGTGAGTTTCTCACCATACGCTCCGTTTCCAAACTGTTTTCATGTCAGCTTTGTTTTATTGCTGCGTGCAAGATGGTAAACACGGCTCAGGCAGCATGAGAGGCAGTAATAGCAGCTCTTACTACACCAACAACTGTAACAACAAGCCCGGATGAAATGAAAACACATGAATCAAAGTTATGGTGGAACGGGGACCATTCCAAGCAGTTGTGCAAACATTAAGCCAAGAAGAATTATACTGAACATACAAAGGTAGAGCTTCCAGTGGCAGTGGCCTGTGTGTATTTGAGGGGTGGGGGGGTATGATGATGATTATAGTTTAGTTCATCCATGGGTTCAATGCTGAAACGGCACGTTGTTGAGGACGTGAACCCGGTGGCATTGTAAAGACGGGTGAATCATCAACCAAGAGAAGGTCCATATCTCAGGAAGGACAAACAATGAAGACGAAACAGGAAAGTCCGGGCTAAATGAATCCATCCCCACAGGAGGAACTGTTCCAAAAAGGTGGAGGGTTAGAAAAAGAAGACAATGGCAGGAGGTCTCGTCCATTTATTATAAATGGAAAGATGCTATTGAGGTGCAAAAATAGATGAAATAAGGCCATCAATCTCACACTGATTAACCAAGGTCACATCCTGAAGAGTTTAGATATAAAAAGGTAATATTCTCAAACTCACATATCTTGTGCAATTAATACTTATATAACTTTGGCCTGAAGGTGGGGCCAGACAGTGTAGCTATCATTTGAAAAGGATCAGTGACAAACCAAAGACTGATAAGTCCACAATGATGTCACCCATTGGTTTATGAACTTCTGTATTGAAGCCAAGAGTTTGTCATACTGGCCATCCCCATCTTTGTTTGTTTGTTTTTTAACTAGAGGTGCCAATAGCTGGACGAGAGGGTAAAAAAACATTTTTGTAGGTTCATGTGGTGGAGACCTTTAAGTCACATATCAATCAAGTGAGAGCTGAGATCCTTATCATTTTGGACGTACCATCTCATGAACTGAGTTTTCAGTCAGGGGTGAAGCCTTCTGCGGACCAAGAAGCAAACCTAAAGAAAATTAATGTTTAAAGTATCAATCTAGAGATGTTTTCCTGTAGACCATAGTATTGACTTGCAAAAACCTATAGACTAACAACTCTATTACATACTGCCTATTAATTGGAAAAGATATTGTAAGAAGTAAGTAATTCCTGCCACTTATCATTTCTGCTAGTTGGGCCTCTGATGGAGTTTTAGTTGTTTTGGGGTGTGATGATAAAATAAATCTCATCACTTCATTTCTATCTGTGAGGTTCAGGTGGTCAACTGAAATGTTCAATGAAACTCCACATACATTTTGTAATGCTTACATATCTTCACCCAACATGAATATATGCTTTCCCCTGAGTAACCCACTTCGTAAACCTGTATTTTGTTTTTTAGATTTAAATTTACATTGAACTTTTTTACCTTTACTCAATAGTTGATACGCGAAAAGGAGCCAGAGGTCGGACTTGAACCTGGGCTGCTCAGTTGGAGGACTATGGCCTATGGGGCACATAAACCTGTTTTTTACCTTCCTGTTGCTGTCTCAGGAGCTGAGGTTTCACATTTATTTTGGCATAGTCCTAATGACTAATTCCCAGGTCGATTAAATAGAAATTTAAATTCAACCTAACTGACAAGACTCATTCTTAGAAAACAATCAGAAAACAGCCCAAATTTAACCATTTAGTTGACAGTTGACAAAATGCACAGAACCCTAGTTTCTTTTCCACTCATCAAAAGATTATCTTCTTAATACATGTGACCTTCACTGGACCTGCAGGGTTGGCTTGGTGAACTGATTAGAAGACGCTCTTTGTTGTTTCTTTGTTGTTAATAAAATGTGCAGCGACATAGTAGAGGATCATATTGACATTCAGGAGAGAGAAAAATGTAGAGCAGGCCACTGACATCAGCCCTGTGTTATAGCCAGGCTCTCGAATGGATGGTCCCAGAGGAGAAAAGAGGCGCCATGGAGACTCTTAAGGCTAAATCAATCCACAGTACACTATATGTAATACATTGTCGCACACATGCATTGAGGAAGAATTATGCATTGGAAAATTTTCATGACTTGAGGATTGAAGTGATATATGATGGGTTTCAGGCTTTGACAATAATGCAAAAATGAAGCGATATTTTTATCAAACAGCTGACAGCATGTATTTTTTCAGAATACAAAGTGTTGCTTGCAGCTTTCTGTGTACAGCTGCTTACAGTAAATTCCAAACACAACTGTGTTTATGTAACCTCTGGGAAGGAGCAGTAGTTTCCCATAAGTTTAACTGTTTACAGTAGGTCATGTGATTTTTACACCCTTTTATTTGCATAGATAACTGTGTGAAGGGTCATTGAGTTTCTGGAGTTCACATTTAAGTGCTTAAAAACATTTGCACAGCTTTTAATCCAGCAGGGAAGAGAGAAGAAAGACAGTAAATCAAGCACATCATAAAGGGAACAACTTACACATTGAATAAGAGAATGAATGAACCTGTTTAATATGCATATTTGCTTCATTCTTTACAAGTACTGCAAAGACAAATAGCTAATTTGGGGAACTTAAAGTGCAGCAATGAGAATGCCTTACGCTATGAGAGCAGAACTAAACGGCAGAGCAGCCAGAACCTGGTGTGAACTGTAACACAAGCAGCGCCAAGCCTCGTGAGAGGTTGACACACATCTGAAATGGAGGACAAAGTATCCAGGAAATAGTGCTGTAGCTTGCATTTCCTATTCTCTTGGTGTCTGTGATACACAGCAGCTTCATTGGAGCGATCTCTCGTCGTTAAGGACCAGATGCCTGAACGGCTGAGCTGGCCCGAGTTGGCATATTTACCCTGAGAGCAAAGAGAAAAAGTCCTGAGAGCGGTCACTGCTCTGAGCCCCCCCGAGAGAGAGAGAGAGAGAGAGAGAGAGAGAGAGAGATTGCAAAGAGCCATCGCTCCCCTTGCAGACTTGTCCCCTTCTGTTTTTCTGAAACAGGCACTGCTCTTTTGAAACGGTGCCAATGGAGGCTGGCCCAAACTCTTGCAGCTGAAACTTTTACAAGCTCAGTGTTCGCGAGCAGGAAGAGAAAGACACAGAGTCAAGATTTTGAAAGAGAGTTTGCAGCTCCTCTCCTCCTCTCCCCTATTCTTCGACCCGCCTGAGATGTCAGGACAGTGATTTATTCTGCATTTTTTGTTCATGTAAACAACAAATTCTTCAAGATTATGCACATAAATGCCTGAGGAAAGAAGCATTTTTAGTCCGTGTTTTGGGAATAAATGTTATAAAATGAGGAGCCAGTGACGTCACACAGGAAGCTGTCCTGGATATTGCCTGAGGAAAGATCCAATGAGTCTCTGTGGCACTCTGGTGTGGACAAATTTAAAATTTAAGCTTGGGGCTTCTTTAGGACTGGGATTAATTTACTGCATCTATTCTCTTTCAATTGCCTTTTCCTTAAAGTTGACCCTACTCTTGCCCTTATTTTCACTTCACAGATCTGTGACACACTTTGTTACTTTTGGATGTGATGTGCTAAACATCCCGGCTCTCTCGTTTGGCTTGTTATGTTGACAGTAAACACCAGTTCCCATTCACAAGTACAAACAAATTAAACCAGAGTCTAAAAGGATACTTTTCTTTTGTACCGACTCTGCTACAAAGCCGAACAAAAACACAGGCAGGTGCAGAACAACTAAAGACGTCCGGAGTGACTACCGAAAATGGGAACTGTGAGGCATGTACTACCTGGGACTGAAGCCAAGTGCTGACAAAAGACTTTACTGCACGACTCTGAGAGAAGATTTTAACTCATTTGCTCTGGAATATTTGGCACTGTTGTTTAGCTGACTAACTGTCTTCTTGGCCTCATTACAAGACAGCACGTAAGTACTCACTTCTGATATCTTATAACTTATTTCTGTCTCTCTCTCTCTCTGATTCTTTCCCCGCTCTGAGCCCCTAAGCCTACAGCCAAGTGAGATGTATTTCTGATGACAAGTAATCTACTAAGTACTCCTTGACTTTACTTCAAAGCCAAACTGGGCCGTGTTGCATACTCCAGGTGGAGTTTATATCTTTAATAAGAGCGTGTAAGCACAATTTCTCTTCTCCTTCTCTTTCTTGCTGTGTCTCGCTCTTGGCAGCGGGGCAGAAGTGGGCAGGCAGAGAGAGAGAGAGAGAGAGAGAGAAAGAGAGAGAGAGAGAGAGAGAGAGAAGGGCATGGCCCAGAAACTGCTCTCAAGCCCCAGCCCCTGTTCGAGTGGGGTTTCTCGCTTAGAACACTGCTCAGCCTTTCCCTCGTCCTGCAGGCCAAAGAGAGGGATGTGGAAATGCATTCTTGTCTCATTTGTAGCACGTTTTTTTTTTTTTTTTTGTCTCTCCGTCGCCACCACGGCCTAACTCTCTGCGGCTGAACACTAGCGTGACCTATTCGTAAAAGTCACCTCCAGGTATTTCTCAGTTTTTTTTTCTGCTGATATTCGGCCCTTTTCATTGCATTGTGATGAATGCTTCTGTAAAAAGGTTCTGTTACAGTCCTAAAAGTCTTGTATTATTACCTTCCAAACTGTACACGTGTCTGCTTGCTTGTACCGCACACAATGCCTGATATTCGCCATGATTGTTTTCGACTGAAACACACGAGATTTGTTTTAAATATGTATCAACTTCTTCGCATAAACAAATTCAATCGTTTACACAAAGTTACTGTAATGAGCAGTCTGTTTGTATAGAGCTGTTCAATAAACTACATGGCCTGAGTAGATTTTTCAGGGTTGCATTACTGCACCTAATAAGCCGAAGCCAAAAAGAACGACAGCACCAGTGGTTAAAATCACCCAATCAAAAGTAATAACTACCTCTGTAAGTTTCACACAGAAAATTGTTGGATAAAAGGCATTTAGAGGTTTTTATTAAACATGTTTTTTGTGTTGCAGGATTGCTACATAGATTTATTATGGCCAACATGAAGTGTCCTTCGGCCTTGCTGTGGCCACGTTTCACTGTGAACCACAAAACCACAAAAAGAATCCCCTATCGGTGGAGAAAACATGTAGAAAAAAATGCGCCTTATATATATATGTTATATATATTTTGAATTGTAGAGGAATATCACAGAGTTATCTGAAGCGATTTTGAATGCTGCAGTTTGATAGACCTGTTCACAAACCAGTATGAACCAGATCTCTCTGTTGCAAGTATTGTTCTATACATGAAGGGGCTTGTAATGTAAGATTGCAGGGTCTCCGTTTCAGATCAAACATTTTTTAGTTTGTCTGCATATTTTAAACATCCGAGAAGCACAAAATGCTTTTAACAAAGGTAGAATTAATCAATATCTATTCACTTTTTGACTTCACAGACTTCACTCTAACGTGAACTTTTACAAGCTGAAAAACGTGGCACATGTTCATTTACGTGCAGATCAGTGTATTTGTTTGTACACACTCACAGGTTTTAGATCTGTGTCATGGATTATTGCATACCATACAGTAGAGATAGTGTTTGAAGCAAACAGGGAAGGGGGGGGGGGGGGGTGCAGGGAGGATGGGCAGAGAGAGAGAAAATTGACTTGTTTCCTCCTCCCCCACAGCTCTCCTCAGATGAACTTTCTGTGCCGCTTGATGACATGTTTAAAAAACCATATCCTCCGCTATTTGGGTTTCTCTCCTCCCCATGGTTAGAGAGACTCTGAGGTTACCAGGATCAAAGTCTCTTTTTTGGGGGGGTTGTTGCTATTCTCAGGTCATACTGCATACACACTCAGCTCTTCCTGTTTGTCAGCAAAACTGTTTCAGTGGGTCATAAACAGTATTTGATCTGACTATTGACCATGGCTATTTTACATAAACTACCACTCAGAACGGCAGTAGTTTAGAGCAAAAGTCTTGAGAGAACAACATCTGGGAGGTCCACAAGTATTCACACAGATTTTAGTTTCCTCATATTTGTTTTGAGCAAGTGTGGAACATTAGATGGGCTGATTCCCCTAACAGGATAGGGCCAGGTATGACAAAAGTTCAATCAAAATCTTTAAAACACTGTAGTGTGATTTTCTTACTTAAAGGCTTTATATGTGATTTTAAAACTTAAATGTAGAAATCAAGTATATCCTCTGAAAATAACTCTGTGAGTAATGACTGTCTACAATGGGTGTAACACCCGAGTCCCACTGTCTGTGATGGTTTCCGAGTTTTCCGAGTCATATTTTCAGTTTGTTTATAGTGTCGGGACGGCCGGCTGACTCCTCCCCTCGCAAATAAAAGTTGTTTAATTAAGGGACTAGAGAAAAGAAGAATAACATACTTTACTCACTGCTTAACTGCGTTTCTAGATCACGCTCATTTTGGGTAAATTTACATGCAGTGTGAAGATACGAGCATAATAAAGACCGCTAGAATTAGCACGCTAACACAACAATGCACCGCGAGTTGTTTTGGTTTCATGCTGGTGCTCAAGGGCGACATCTGCTGGATCAAAAAAATATAAAGCCTTTAAGCACTCATTGCACTCAAACTGCTTAATTTGCCCAAAAGTATTATTATCTTTTTTTTTTTTTTACTTGAGTAATAAAGATAAATCAGTGTTATACATACAAAAGAATGTGGATAAGACTCACAGGCCAAAAGACAGGGAACTGCCAAAGATTGTGACTAAATGTAATACCTAACAAAAGTCATCTAGCCTCATTACACTAATAAAACACTACAAACAAAACAAAGCAAAGATCTTAAAAATGACTGCCAGTAACTAGATATCTTCAAGGTAAAAGTCCTTCGCACCAGAATTAGAAGTGTTGGAAAATGTTATTTTAGCCCAGAGTCTACCATTAATGCCCAAATGTCCATCAGAATTTAAATATATGATGCAAATTAGTTATGGATAAGATGATCACTCTTTAGGGCCTGTGTCCACTTACATCGTTTTTTGATTTATTCAGACCGAATTCGTTTTTTTGAACCAAGCTGTAAACAAGTTTATTTCTGGCTTTTTTTTAATGGTTGTGTATTGGACTTCCAGGAGGAAGTGGACACTGGAGGAACTACAGTGTTTTACACCTCAGCACTGGCTTCATTTTTTGACACCAGAGGTTGCTGCTTGGAAGCAACCTGAAATGGAGAACTAACAGGCGCTTAAGATTGTTGAGATCAGTGGGAAGTACATGTATTTCCAAAAGACTATATTTTGCCATGGTTTCTATGTTTCTTAGACTAATAAAAAAAGAGGATTATTTTGTTAACCTACATGATAGTCATTGCATGTACAGAAGTACTTAATTTCACGCTCATGTCATTATTTGGACTTGTAATTCTCTCTTCTAGTGGTTTGACCTGAGGCCCTAAAACTAAAGTCAGTCCATCTAATAGAGCCATGACATAATGTGGGGCCCATTTCTCTCAAATTAGGACCAGATATTCAACTGTGTATCAACGTTTTCTCCGAGGGGACTGAAAATTAATGTAGGGGTCTTGAGATGATTACTTGGTAAGGAATAAGAAATAACAAAATTCTTACAAAAACTTTGCTATTTTTTTTTCAAATTCTGATTTAATCATTCTTGTCTAAGATGTGTGGATACACTGTTTACAATTTGATACAATACAGGGTTTACTCAATTCTAGGCTTTCAATTGGAAAAGCTGTTTGACATGCACTAAAGTAATAATACATCATTCATTCAGCTTCCTCAAGGACTACCTATCAGCACCAACCCATGCAACAATATTAATATCATGTTTTATCAGCTCAATGAAGATTGCTTTCTCTAGTCTGTTCACCACAGTAATACAAGCAACACTTTCCAGAATGTCCATGAAGGCTCGCCATCATCCAGATCAAGGTTAATTTAGAGTTTGATACAAGTCCAGGCAACTGGACTTATTTGAAGTTGTTGATGAGGTTTCACCTCTCCTCCAAAAGTCACCTTTATATGAAGCAATATCATTCTATTTAGGCTCTTAAACCGGTTATAATCTGAATAGTAGGCTCTACTGTACATGTAGATACTGCATTAACAGGTATAAAGCCTGACTATTAATGAAGATTACATTGTCATGATTGATTTCAGCACCAAAAATATCCCCTAATCCTTTCTAGTTTGAAGTTAATGCTGATGATAAGCTCAACACCAACAAATTGTGAATTAATACTGTGACTTTATTGTACTCAAGAGTTAGTGTACAGGAAGGCTGGAAACAATCACTCCTGAGGATTACGATTGCAAATACTTCTTTTGAAACATAAAAGATAGCTCAATTGTAACTACAAGAAATGTAGAAACTTTGTTTGAAGTAAAGATGTCAAACAGTTACTGTGGGAGAACATGTAATGTATGGCAGACCGAGTCAGCCTGCAAGGATGTAAACTCTTGCTGACCTCAGTTTATTAAACAATATGCATCACATATGATGTGACTCAGCTGAAACCCTATACAGACTATAAGCACTCGTCCAACATATGGTCAAAGTCTGATTATGAAACTATGGACCTTTCTTAGATGTGTGATCAACTAGCTCACACAGCACGGACGCTGCACAGAGCATCTGGCAGCAAGCTATGCCACCAGATGTTATTGTGCGGTATCAAACCCTCTTTCTGACATGGCATCCTCCCATTGCTTGGCTGCCAGTACTCTCCACCCCCCTCAGCGGTGGGTTCTGCCATGCTGCATCCACGACATCACCCCCTTTTTGTCTCATTGAGATTCAGCCTGGCACGCAGACAATGCCCTTTTCTTGGCACCAAATATTGGAAAGAACCGCTTAAAGGAACCAGTCTCAGTCTTTTCCTGCACAGTCGTCCCCTGTATCCCGACGACCATCATGGACCAACGCCAACTTGTTCTAGGTATTTTTTTTGATGCTTTCATCTACTAAATTCTCCGTTTTTTATCGCACGGATTTATTTGGCAACACGGATATCCTGAATAAGTTGTAGATTTTGAAACTGTAAGATGAGCTACTGTAGCCATCTTTATTTGAAACAACATTAGATTATCCTGTCAGTGATCTGTTGATTGGCATGTGGATTGTTCTGAGTGACTCGTAAATGAAGGTCATGGATTGATAGCTCTGATCATCATTACACTCTGCAACAGAGCGGCCATTTTCCTTTCATCAATAGCTTTGGGATGTCACAGTGAAACCATCACTTCCGGGTGTGATAAGCATTTGCTTTAGTTCTTGTTACCAATGGACTTGTGGGAAGAGCTTATTACTGTTTACCTCTAAGTAGCTCTTGTGGAAAAATTGATGTGCCCAATAACAAACGAGATGTAGTTGGATGCAATCCAGGTAAGAATGATTCATAAATCTACGAGTACCTGTTTGCATGCCTTACTGGGCTGTGGTTAAGAAGAGCATATTCTGATTGTGAATTACAATTTACGTCCAAAATAATGGTTACAGTACAGTATAACACTCAATTGAGATTTACAAACAAATGTTAGTTCTGACCGACTTTTGATTATTTAATAAATCAATGGGGACACCTGATTTGAAATTTGGAAGTATTTTGAGAAACACTGCTGATTAGATCATGACATGATGCAATGTGGAGAAAGAGCATTTGTAGTTCTTGTTTAACTTTAGATATATTATCTGGTTTTTACACAAAGTTATAACAAAAAAAAATTATATTGTCATATGTAAAACCATGGTGAGCTTCATAGCCATAACTTCTCCAGATGGAGCAGTGTTAAGCTTCCTATACCAATACAAAAAATTATCCTGGACCTAATCATGCGTCCCTAGAGAACCACACATAATGGCCCACCTACACAACAAATATTGTTAGTAGTCAACACAACTTTTTTTTGTCCAAGAAGTTGAACCAACTCCCGCTTTCACTTTGTCCCCTCTGCATAGGACAGCCAGTTTGATGAGTTTGATACCATTTACCTTCTAATTAATTCAACATCTCAATTAAGGCCTCCCACTCTCTGATGCCCCTGTGCTGTTTCATTATAGCCCGATGAGCATGCCCTGGCACAGCAGCCACAAAGCCTGCCAAAACATTTCAATCACTGTCGGCATTAATTAGGCCAAAGAGGAATTCAGAATGTTAATGAACTGCCCAGCCGCCTTTCAGCCACCATGGTTCACATGCTAATTTATGCAAAGCGTCCTACTCTTTGCATGGGTTGACCATCGTTGTCTACCATAACAGTGTCTGGGCTCAGTCAGCTAAGCCAAAATATGGCTCGGTCGGGGCTCAGACAGCTCTGCCCAGTCTGTGTCCCAGAATCTAGCTGGCACGGTAAACAGACTTCTTCTTCAATAGACTTGAAGTGGCTTTCACACTGGGAAAACTGGGCAATTTTCTCAAGTCAAACCCTTCAGCTCGTCTGAAAGAACATCTCAAGACAAAACATGAGGCACACTAAGAATTTCTTGGCATACTTTAGTGACTCACCAACACACAACTCAATAACAACTAGGGTTTATACCACAATTTCATGGGGTAAAGAACATCTAGCTTACTGTATGTATATGGATTGAACTGAGGAGGCACAAGTTAACAGGTTGCACCACAGCTGTTTGGTGTCTGTATCAAACAACTCCATAAAATGGTTGAAGTAACTGCCATTTCCAGTTCCATTTTCTCTTTGTAAATGCTCTTGGGGTGATGAGACTGACTAAACGGAGGTTCTATTGGGAATTTGAGCAGGAAAAACCAAGACAAGATTTTAAGTCAAAGAGGCTGACACACTTGCACTACATTGGTAATAACTGAATGTTACCTGTAAGGCTTACACAGAACACCAAAACATTATGTGGGGACAAAAGTGTATGTTTTGTTTTATTATTAGAACGGCAGTAATCAGACGCTGATATCATTTACATAGACATGTTGTTTGTAAGCTGTGAGAACAAGCGATGGTTTGGCGAGCCAAGATGGAATAACTCCTAGAAAGTAATTATTGATTCAACTGCCACCAGAAAACCATGGCAACGAGTGTTATTTACACCATGTGGATTTATGCTGTTTGTATTAGTTTTTAGGTTGCAATTTCAATAGCTTGCTACAACAGGTGATTTAATAAAACAAAGGTTTTCCATAGGAAAATTTTTGAATTGTCTTTTTAGTATTTATGATCAACTCGATGAGATTTTTTTAAATCATAAAAGGTAGCCTCTGTTCTTACGAGAAATATTTTTCTATAATTGTTTGGATAATAATAATAGCGTATTCTGTCTTTTTTTTTGTTCACAGTTCAACCAACCAGTTTCCAAATCTACCTGCAAAAGCATCTGTCCCAAAGGCTGAGGTAGTAGATTGAATAGTTGTGGGGTTTGATCCTCCCTCAGAGATAACTTTTCAATCTACTGTCTTTCCTAAGGAGACAGGATGATCTGCCGTGATGATGAAGAATCAATGTGTTTCAGAAGCTCCATGGATAAAAGAAGCCATGGACTCAAAAAAGATGATTTAAGGATCAATTGATCCAACAAATCTGAGGGGGAGGTTGTGGATACAAAAAAGACTTTACAAATGTAACTGCTATAATTCTTACAATGAGTAATAAAGCGCACGTTTAATTTATTTATTTAATAGGGACAAGGCAATTTAACATAGTTTCAATACATACATGAAACTGATGTGCTGCATAAAGAGTATCTATTGCTAATTTCCAACTCTTGTCCCTTAGTTGGTCCAATGGGTAAAGTCTACTTTTTGAGGGTAGTCACTGGTGCCTGAAGTTGAGCCTTGCAAGGTGAGGTAGTAGGTTGTATAGTTTGTGGGATGGAGTAAATCCTGCTCAGGTGATAACTATACAGTCTATTACCTTTCTTGAGAGGTACAATGAGTGCTTGGAATGAGGCTCACTCACACAGAAGAAACAACTCTGACGCCATCTTGTGACCAAAGACAGTAAGATCAAAGATATATTTGCATTTGGGCTTCTTCTGTATGTTTCTGGGGTGATTATGCAAAGCTTTCCAGGCGTGAATCTCCAAAAAAAAAAGGATGGTTTTACTGAGACGTTGGGAGAGTCAAGAGGAGCCATGAGGCTCATAGATCCAAAGTCTGTTCAGCAATAATTTTTCATTTTAAATCTTTTGATACAAAGATGACAGTTGCATATCTGAATTTTTGCACACACTTAGTTTATTTTTGTTTGTTGCTTTGTTTAAAGGTCTGGCTGTGTTTATCCATTGCCATTCCTAGTACGTTGTATCTGTACGTACACAATTCTATGTATGATAAGACTCTGATTTTGGGAAATAGTTTTTTGTAATTCCCTGTTTAAACCATTAAAAAGTGTTGAATGTTTAATAGTGGTATCAATAAGGACTCGGATCGTTAGGAAATATCGACAAGGGTATCACTATAATTAGAAATGAACAATCTCCATTCTAATCAAGGATCCCAAAAGAGTCACCTGTCAATGTCACTGTGAACTCAATGAGGAGGTTATAAAAATGTTTTAGTAACAGGGTCAACCCTGCCTTTCGCCCCTGTCCATCTTTGCATTTAGCTAAACGTTTTCAGCAGCAAGTATACTCTGAGAAAAGGTATGAAATGTATCCCTTTGTAACCCCAGTGTGTAAAACAAAGATCCAAAAATGCCATTCATGTTGTCTCTAGTTCTGTTTACTCTTTGAGATTACATGTCACAGAATGAATAGCAGTAGAAACACTGAAATAAGTACATCATGTTCCATTTGTTAATTGTGTTAGTAACATATTAAAAGCCAACTGATCATCAAAACAAGAGTACCTGTACATTGGAATTCAACAAATAGGTCATGCTACAGCCTTTATGAGACTTTGATTGTTGTTGAAACTAATTGACTCAACTCTTCTTTGATAATTGTTTTGGTCTATACTTTGTGGTGTTGTTTTTTTAGACTAGATGGTTTGGAAATGTGTGTTTAACATTACAGAAATCAACATTTTCATCAGATTTTGGATGTCAAAGTCAAAAAAAAAGTAACAACTCCAATACAACCAAACAATGTAGTAAACTACCAAATCAACTAAATGAGCAAACAAAGAGTTGCAGCAGTCCTATATGTATCTATTGTCGCTATTATCTTTCTCCAAACCTTCAAATCAAAGCTCGAAACACACCTTTTTAGATTAACCTATTCTGTCTGACCATGCCCGTCTTACTATTGCTGCTTTATGTTTTATGTAGTTGATTGTGTTCTTGTTTTTACTAACGGTTTTACTGTCTGTAAGGTGACCATGAGAGATGAGAAAGGCGCCCATAAATAAAATGCATTATTATCATTATTTGTTATTATTCCAATCAGGTTTACACAGTTCATTCATTGAATTGCATTGCAGACAGTTTACCAGGTCATGTTGGCTAACCTTTTTTTTTTTACATAGAATTAATGGAAAGGGGGATTTCCAATATAGTGTTTTTTTGTGGAAATGAACATGAAGAACTGGAACTTGATCAGAAAGTGAAAAAAAAAAAACAGTGATATGAAACTCAGTGTCAGACTAAACTTTGAGACGAGTTGAAGTTGCCCTTCTCCTCTCCAAGGAAGTTTTTTGTAATACAAACACACACATTATCACCCAACTATATACACAAACACACACACGTGCTTGAACCTTACAGATCTTTCAGTGCACATGCATAGATTTGTTAACCATAGAAATGTAGAGAATATCATCTTTTTAGGTTAAGTTTAATGTCTTTTTGACATCAAACAAGCGCAGCCTCTGTGGCAAAAAAAAAACACAATGCAAATGGCCCGGTTGTCGTTTTGGTGCTATTTATTTGGATATAGAACATATGGATTACTGTGAAGCTTATTGTGCTAACAGATGGTCCAATAAGACTGTGCTTCAGCTGTTTAAAGTGAGTGATTTTAGCACCCTCATGTTAGCACTTACAGTATGATCAAGTTATCAACCTTTGCACTCACCATACCTTGTCTATTAGCTTGTATTTCTCATTCACTGATTTCACTGGGGTCCTCTTGCAGGAGAATCAGAATATTTGTTGGCTTTTCCTTTCAGAAATGATGGCAGGAATTGATTAGAGGAGCTTTTATTGTTAAACAACAAAGTCTACTTTACACACCTGCTGCTTGTTCTGCAACCCAAGATGTGTGCACTTATTTTTGGCTTCACTGTTCGTGTTACTACTTAGATTATTGTCTGTTGTCTGGCTTGTCTGAGACCCTTGGATTTCTTTTCCACATGCAGTTAGCTGTCTCCAAAGCGCCAGGTACGCAATCTTGATCTTTGGTATTTTGAACGCATACACAACTGGGTTTACAGCTGAGTTTGCGTGAGAAAGCAGGATGCCAACATAAAAAGCTGTGCCTGGTACATGAATCTCCACATCAAAGTGAACAATGCAGTTCATGATGTGGAGAGGGAGCCAGGACAGGGCGAACAGAGCCAGGACCAGAGACAGAGATTGTGCCAGCTCGTTCTCTTTCTTCAGGTAGTTCTGACACTGTTGCTGGGCCCCGTTGCCTGGTCTCTCTCGGAGGTTTCCTCTGATTGTATAGAAGACGTATCCGTACAATGCAGTCATCACCAACAGAGGTGTCAGGGTGCACAGAAAAAAGTTGAAGTAAACCAGATAGGACATGGGGATAACAGCTGTAAACTGGCAGATCATAGCAGAGGTGGTTGTTGTGTTGGATGAGGTCGGATGTTTGTACCATCCAAGCATGGGAGCAAAGCTCAGTGGTATTGCAACAAGCCAGCATGCTGCTACCACACGTCTGGAATGTATCTGTGTTACTGTCCTTTTGTACCTATAAAAAAAACAAAAATTATTAATATAATCAAATAATATAACACCCTTTCTTGAGAATTGGGAAAAATCACGTCCCAGGCGAACAAACTTAAAAGAAAAAAACACTTACGAACACACTTGTTCCTTTTTTTTTCAAATGAAAGTCTCTTTTTAAAAGATTTTTAAATATTAAACAAATTTGAATACCAAATTTTGGGTCTGATTTCTTTTTTTAAAATTTCTAAACCTGCCCTATGCCAGAAAACACCCTTATCCCAGACAACTATATAAAACTTTAAACAATTTAAAAGTGTGCCAAAAGCATATAAAAATCTACAACACCTACTGATACAATTGGTGTAAAAAATATTATTATAGCCATCTACATTTAAAAATGTATTTATGTATGAACATTTTGACCTGTTAAAGTTGTGTCCCAGTTTTTTGTTAACTCCGTCAGACTTTTATAAATACATAAACTAATCGGGCATAGAAAGAGGAGAGCTACAACATAAAGGACCCATGTCTTAATTCCTGGTTTTAAAAAGGGGGGGGATGCTGTTCAAGCATCTTTTCTATTTTTTGAGAAATTAATTAAATGATGTTGCTATCAGGTGTGTCTCAACCATAACAGGTCAAGTCCATATCACTTTAAAAATCAGAACTAAATAAGGTTTTATGGTTTATTAATTTGTGTTTTGGTTAGCATTGAGAGAACTCTAAGTAACTTTTAAAACTGAAATGGCAACTCACCACAGATGTGCTGTTAAATGAAAAAATATAACATTTTGTCTAGAAACTTTAGGTTCTTTTAAGAGTGGTCTTAAAACATTGCTTTTCTCTTGTGCCTTTGCTTGCAAGTTTATGTTTGTGTGTGTGAGTGTGTGTGTGTATGGTTGGTGTATGGTCCCTGCACTCTATAGAAACAGGTGTATGTAGGTGTGTGTTGTAGGGGATGGTGCATGCTGTTTTACAGAAATGTTCTGGTTTAAAGTGAGCTCGTGAATCCACTTCGTTCATTTATTATTATTTTATTTATTATTTTATTTTTATTTCCCTTATTATTATTATTATTCATTAATTTTCTGTAACATTATTATCCTATCGTTACTACATTAATGATTGAGTGATTTTAATAGATGCATATTATATATTCTGAAGTCTTTATACGATGTCAACTCTGTCAATGAGGTGTCACCTCCGTTACATGGATTTATTTGTTGAATAAAAAGAAACCAAACTTTTGGATGATACAGCTAATTGAATATTCTTGTTTTTAATAAAAATAAATACAAAAAAATTTCCTTGATGTTTTATTTTAAAATACTGAGACTATTTGTTTATCTGACGAAGTTGACAAAAGTCCTCAGCTGCACAAAATGGTATTTTGGGAAAAATAAATTACTGGGAGGTTGGTTCATCACAGGGTTTAATAGATTTTGATCTTTATTCTACAGCAGAATAAACCAAAGAAAATTGTCATAATTTAAGTTAACTTTAGTAGATAAAAATGTTAAAGCTTGTGATTCAAGCTTTAAGCTTGTGATGCTTAGCTCCACTGTTACACTTTTCACTGCATAATATATCATCTCAGAAAAAATCTTACCTGAGCGGGATGTAGACACGGAGGAATCGATCCACTGCGATAGCGACAAGACACAAAACGGATACCAGAGTAAACAGGATGACCACACAGCTGAGGAAGAGGCAGCCATAGAATGAAGTCCACAGTCCTACAGCCGCCACCACAGCCAATGGTATGGCCACACATCCGACCATTAAGTCAGCCACAGCCAGAGACACAATCAGGCAGAAGGTCGGCTGCTTAATGCACTTACAGGTCCAAAGCGCCAAAATAACCAAAATATTACCAAGACAGCAGCAAACAGCAATGAACACCTCCAACAAAATGTAGATCAACGTGACAGAATTCATCATGCTTCCAATCTGACACAAGTTTGCGTCTGGGCTACAATATGCAGTGCTGTCTCATTTATCATTCATCTTGGTGTTGCGAAACATTTGAGGATGTCCGGTTGCCACTTTTTTTAACACCATGTTACACCCTAATGTTTTCAAAGTGTAAGCATTAACTTTTTGCTTGTCATTGTAAGGTAAAATCTTCTTATATTTGGAGATATTAAATCTGACATGAATAAGTTAATACTTTTGGCTGTTGCAATATATAGATTTCTGATACTGACATCATATGGATGGTTTGAATTATTTACTTGTTTTGCTGGTAGGCTATTATCAGGGGGAAGCCTTTTTTTCATTGTGTTGGGTTTCAAAAGGGAAATAAAACCAACCAACAAACTGATGTGCGCAGTCAGTTTCATTTCCAGTCTGCATTATTGCATCCATCACACAGTTTTTATCTTATATGCACTGAATGCAGTTTTTGTGAAATAAAACCCACATCTCATCATAATCTTTTTTTTGACTCGTGGTTTCTTGCCTTTGTTATTGTTGTTATAGCTGAGGCTGGGTAGTGTTGATGGATGTATCATATCAATTTATGGATCTATGCCAATGTTACACAGTTGCATATGTTATCTGCAGTAGAGGTGCTACCTAGAGTTAACACTCACCACACTCCGCAGGACCACAAAGGTAGTTCCAGTTATACTGATGGAGACGAAAAGTGTGTGTGTAACCTCAAGAATAAGTTGTGCTATGCTGTTTTTGTTCCCCGAATATATCCAAGTAAACTGAGCACTGAAGCTAACCATGGAGGACGAGGGGGCATCAGTGGCACCCCAACCGGGAACAAAAAAAATAACAAAGAAGTGAATTTAATTTGATGCTGTCACAGTTTCATCTTGTGCACATTTGTCAAAAAGCATGAGACTGGCTAAGGCCGCCATGTCTCATTCAAAACGTCGGTCCTATGGGAAGGATTAGATGGCAAAGAGTCGTTTCTATGCTGTGTTAAGTGGGATCATTATGAGTGATATGATATGGGAATTCCATTCATTATCTATACCGCTTTTTTCCTGTCCGGTGTCACAGGGGCTCGAGTCCCGGCATGGACCAAGTCCGGAAATTGGTCTGGTAGCTGGAGAGGTGCCAGTCCACTTCCTGAGCACTGCCGAGGTGCCCTTGAGCAAGGCACCTAACACACCCACCAGCTCAGGAGCGCCCACTGCGGGCAGCCCCCTGACTCTGAAACCTCTCCATTAGTGCATGCCTATAGGATCCTGTTTGTGCATGTGTGTGTATTTCAGCCTATGCTTGTGTAGCATGTTAACTAGACAGAGTGTAAAAACAAATTTCCCCTCGCGGGATCAATAAAGTATACATTATTATTATTATTATTATTATTAGATCCCAGCTGTCATGGGCGAGAGGTGGGGCACAACCTGAACTGTTTGCCAGTCAATCACAGGGCTGACATAGAGACAGACAAGCAACAAGCTATTTAGAGTGACCAATTAACCTAGTGAGGATGTCCTTGGACTGCAGGAGGAAGCTGGAGTTCCGAGAGAGACATGCATGCAAAGGGAGATCATGCAAAGTCTAATGGAAAGTGCAATATGATATGATGACTATATAAACAAAGTCATGGGGGTCAGAAGGTCACCCGCTTCCCTTCCTTGATCAGCATAAATGCTTGAGTATCGCTGTTCTGTCATGACAAAGAGAACATTTATCAAACAAAGCAAATAATGATGACAAACAGAAAAATACCATATCACGAGTGATATTACATTTGAATATGAACATGAAAAAAATCCCTGTATCAATAGGAACTAAAAGAGGATTTAAAAAGCTTTTGTAGGGAACTTTTACTCAACATCACAACATTCAACAAGGAACTTACAACTATCAGCACACTGGTGTTTGTTAAGTAAACTCCTTCTGACAATTTGAATCTCAACAATCACAATCAATCAAACTTTGATTGGGTTTGGTGCCTAAATATTTAGCAACGATTTCTAAATATTTAGCAACGATTTCTAAATATTGAGCTAAGATTTCTAAATATTGAGCTTTGATTTCTAAATATTTAGCTTATATGCAAATTCACTATACCGCCCACCGGAAGCACCAAAATGAAAGTTCGAGGAAGCGATCCAACCATTGTCTCCTACAGGAGACTGGCGGGATTTTGAAAATGTCGAACGAATTAGCGGAAGATGTGGAAGATCCTGTGGCCGACACCGAAGAAGTAGTGCTTTGAAAACCCCGAACTGCGGCCAAAACGGCCCTTCCAACATTCTCCGCTAATTCGTTCGACATTTTCAAAATCCTGCAATTTCAAAATTGGATCGCTTCCTCAAACTTTTATTTTGATGCTTCTGGTGGGCGGTAGAGTGAATTCGCATATTAGCTAAATATTTAGAAATCGTTGCTAAATATTTAGAGAATATCTAGAGTGTAGTGGCCAAGATAAAATATATGAGCACTTTCTTTAAAACAGTCTTACTTTTCATTTGAGTTGTTACTGAATGCACAATACTACCTTTTTACAACAATTGGGCTGAGTAAGTCTACAAATATAATCATCACTTTATATTAAATAAAATAACTTCTCAAATGTTTGAAGATAAAAAACTTATTTTCATTTTATCCAAACAAAGAAACAAATTGTGTGCCACAAAACAAACAAACAAACACTGTCTGACCGGTGCAAAGGAGGCTATGTTTCATAACCTTGTGTCATTGACTGATGTAGTAAGAGCTGTCTTGTACATTTAATATTCAAAGCCTCAACCTATGTAATATTGATTGCATTCATTCTGGTTTATCAATTTAAACCCTTGTCTATTTTGAAAAGTGCTGAGGTTGATGGATTAATGAAGGCGAAAGCAGAGACAACCCAGCAGTGTTGTCATTGTGTCAGATTGAAATAAATCGTTCACTATGCGGAGAAGCTAGGCGAGGATGATTTTGTTAATTAGAACCGGTAATAGAAGCTTTTCTGTCTAGTAATCCTTGTGACACATGCACAAGCGGATCCCTGCAAGGCCATAATCAAATTCATTACTTCTGTTTAGAGATAATGATGTGTTGTGTGGTGCAAACAATGGGACAGTAGAAAAATACAAAATATTAATAAAGGAATATGGTGCTAGGGTATAGAATACATAATCAACAATTGATGGACTACAGAAGGATGTATTTTAGTTGTATGCATAAAGTGTTATCCATAACTACAAAACTGCAAAGAAGAGATTTTACATCACTTGATTGATTCAAGAGAAAGAAAAAAGCTAAACTCAAGGAGTGATTTGGGCAACCAATAAAAGTGCTACTACTGCGGATATGTTTTATACAGAGGTAGATGTTTAAAGCCTTTGCACGCTGAGTCTGTTTTCTTCGTCCAAAATTGCTGCACGTGTAAAAAGATATACGATCTCATGTTATAAGTCATGTTTGCACACTGACTCCAAAACTTTAATCCAACAATAGATGGAGCCAGCATTTTTATTTTTTTTAAACAAGTCAAAGAACCAAAAATTAATCTTCACTACTTGATGACTTGTTTTCAAGCGCAAGACATTCAAAAAGCACATAAGAAAAAAAAAATACTTGTTGTGCTAAGACATTTACTTTTATCACATTTCATGCGTGATAATGCATGAAGACTACCACTCGAGTTAATGAAGGCATGTGGAATTACAGTGGTCTAATAAAACTGATGTAGTGTCTGCTGATGTAGACTTTAATGTATTAAACAGCGCCTGGGTGATAGGCAGTGTCCAAAATAAAAAGCCTGAGTCATTACTAATAAGTTTAGTTTACTGATTTACTTTCAATCGGACAATTTTGATTCCGTAAGCAACTGAAGACCATCCCAATGATTGCTTGCTCAGAAGTACAAGCTGCCAAAAACTGTTCATGCTCCAACAGACAATTACATTACGTTTATGTAAGTAATTGAAATTTTGGATCTAATTCCAATACCTGCAGTAAACCTTACAGATTTCAAATTGTTAAAAGCCTGCATGGACTCATTATGCGGAGAGCTGTAAAAAGATCGAGACATCAATGTACCATTAAAATTAAATGTGAGCACAACTTAAACATGGACAATAAAACATTATAACTGCTAATAAAGCACAGTAGCTTTAAACAACAGACCAAATGTAAGCACAGTTTTAATGCTATTGTTTGAGGAAACAAGTGATGAATTACACCTCAATCATAAGTCTGTCATTTTAGCTTCCATTCACCTGATGTCTCTCATACACTGACGTTGAAATATAAAATAATTAACCAGCACGAACTTAACTATCATGAAATATCAACTATCAAAACATTCTTACAATTGGTTTGCATTAATATAGGGTGCCTACTTAATTTGCACTATAAGATACAAGGACGGCTTTCCTTGTAGTAATAGTTTAAAATGTTGAGAAGGTAAGCTGTGTTTGTATTTTCAAGAGTTAGATGAGAAGTTTCGTTTAGAAGCAGGGGCTTATGATTTCTGTAGCAGCAACCTATTAAAAGCTCGTAGGCCTTTTACTAGAGAAAAACGTGATTCACCTATCCCGTGAATGTAGCCTAAATTAATTGCACATTGTTAAATGTTCAACTCAAGCAGAATTCATTTTGTAGACAACTTTATGATTTTTTGGGGGATTTTGAAATAGCCTTAAAAATCCCTGAGGGATATTCTGGTTTTAAACTCTGTTATTGATAGACATGCTTCTCACACACATAGGCCCCAGTCACACACACACATGCGCAAACAAGACCTGGGGACATGCATTAATGGAGAGATGCCAGAGTGGGGCTGCTACACACTACTATGCACTGCTTGCTCAGTGGCACCTCGGGAAGTGCCCTGGCACCTCTCCAGCTACCAGAGCAACTTCCCACCGGGACTTGAACGGTCCCTTCAGACTGAGCTATTGCCGCCCCCATGAATGAGCAATAGTCTGCATTCTTAGGAAAAGTAGGATTCACAACAGTCAGGAAAAACATAAAGCCATAACCAATACAAACAGAAAATGTCGAATTACTAGGAAATACTTCAGCTGTAAGCAATAGCCTAAGATATAATTGAGAAAAATAAAATCCTGTTTCTATGGACACAGTTACCACTTCGGCTAGCTAGTTATGGGGCGCCAATTGTAAAGTTGCGCACACTACAAATAACAACAACATTTCTCCACATTTAGCCCTAAAACAAAACTTTTTATTCACATTTAGAGGAATATTTGTGAACTTTGTCATAATTACTTTTGTGAATAAAAATGTAAGATAATTTCATTGGCAAATATAAATGTTAAATATTATATCTAAATGTTGAATGTTTTATCTAAATGTTAAAAATACATGTCCTGATTGTGAATATTTAGCTATGTTTCTAAACATTTAGTTTACATTCTAAATATGTAGCTAAGATTGTAAATATTTATAATCAAAGCTAAATATATAGAATAGAAACTAAATATTTAGCAACGACTTCTAAATATTTAGCTAAGACTCTAAATATTAATATAATAGAAATTGTTGCATTTAGAATGTAAACTAAATGTTTAGAAACATAGCTAAATATTCAGAATCAGGACATGTATTTTTAACATTTATATATAACATTTAACATTTCGATAAAACATTCAACATTTAGATATAATATTTAACATTTATATTTGCCAATGAAATTATCTTACATTTTTATTCACAAAAGTAATTATGACAAAGTTCACAAATATTTCTCTAAATGTGAATGTGTGCGCAACTTTACAATCGGCGCCTCATAACTAGTAGCATATCGTTGTTAGCCCGTGGCACAAAACACACAAAACAAGTGTGCAGCTTAACTCACGACGCTCACTTACAGTAGGCTATTTATGCAACTCCTTCAGAGTTTCCTCTTCTTCTCCGTCTTCTTCGTAGTCCTCAGTCATCCTAATGTCGGGCATCCCAATGTCTCCACCGTGTTAGCATCCTAATCGTGCTGGAGTTAGTGAGCCTCGCCGTCATCATAATCTTCTCTCACTTGTTTCTTATCCACGGCAAAAGTAACGCGGTCCATAATCAGCTAATAAGTACAAAGTTATTGTAGCCTATTTCATTAAAGTTAGTTGACACACTTATATTAGCCTACTCCTTGAATACAATCAGAGTACGGGATGGTGTCACACAAGCCTTCCGATAAAATTACAAAAAAAACAAGTTCAAGTTCAAAGGTCATCATCACAGCTGTAACTGGGGTGTCATCAGGTAGGCTAAATACATTAAGCTAACATTAAGGAAATTATATTTAGCCTAATTAAAAGTCAGCTTTTAAAACTCCATAAAATAGACTTGTTCTTAATCCATAGCTCTATTTTTTCCCAACAGAGGGTATTGGAGGGTCTCAGTTTTTTTCTGCCAAATGGAGACTGGAAGCAAATGAATTAGCCTATCTTGTCTTTGTCAATAGGGGAAAACTACGGAGGAGGATTAGGGCCACGTTAAAAAGAAAAAAATATATATATATTTCGAGAAATAAGTCGTAAATTTACGAGAATAATCTCGTAAATTAACTAGTTGTGAGACCAGCCTGTTCTCAAATGACAAATATGGAGCATCTTGCAATACTTTAGTAAAGGTTTCACTAATAAGGAAATGTGTAGTTAGTAAAAAAAACAGTGAGTTCAAGAGAAGTTTTCACTTCAACTTGTAAGACCTAGTTTATCTGTAAAATGATGAACAGGACACAAACTGGCTCTGCACATGAGACACTTTAACAAGGCAGACCGATAACAGACACAAATAGTTGTGTTGGGGCTTTATTTATGCAGATATGAAACTATGATGCTTTTAGCACATCATCATCTTCACATTGTCATAAAATATCAGGAACCTGAAAAGATACTGCAAGAAACTGTGGCTTTTACGAAGAAAGAACCACACTGACTTGGAGGAAGTTGTCTAAAGAGGAAAAGACTCTACTTTCATCATTTTCTACTTTCATCATTTTCATGCAGGGTGGTCTCGAACTCGTTAATTTACGAGATTATTCTCGTAAATTAACAACTTTAATCCATAGACCGTAAATTAATCTTGCAAATTAACGAGTTTAATCTTGAAATTTAAAAAATATATATTTTTTAACATGGCCCTAATCCTCCGTCGTAGAAAACAGCCACAGGATCCTCTAAATGTCTCTAACTGAAATGTTGTTAAAATGTTTGTTAAATTAATTTGAAATGTGTAAAAATGACATGAAAAAGTGAACAATGAAAAGGAGCTGTTAGGAGGGGGTTCAAGGTCTTTAAGATTAGGTTGCCACATAGTAGTCACCTAATAAAAAAAACATTTCTGATAGCCAAACATAAGGTACCAGGAAGAAGTTTATTTAGCCTATATAATGTTTTTTTTGTAGCAACAAAAGCATGGAGCAAATGCTGATAGACATCCTGTGTAAACTCAACTGTATTGGTTAAAAACATGGGATTGCATTTTAAACATGTTTACATTAATAGACAGTAAGATAAAACCAGTGCTGCATCACATTTTTCTCCATCTGAGGGCTTGTTTCATCCAACACGCTTATCAGAAATGCATTCTGCGAAACTGATGCTGCAGTGAGCCGCAGAAAGCAAAGTCCCACCCCTTGTTTTTTTTATGACTCTCTTTTTTATACAGAGTAGTGAGAGAGCGAGTGAGTAAGAGAGCAGAAAGAGGATGTAGATGAGTAGTGATGCTTTAGTACCCTGTCCTGCGCAGAGCATGAACAAAGTATGGAGGATGAACTCTCCGACAAGGAGCACTCACTGTGAAAATATGGCAGAGGTATAATCAACTTCTTTCAGCTAGAGAACATATCTAGTGGAAGATGTTTTTTTCTACAAAAGGTGGAGATTGAAGTTCCAACAACCAATTTACAGTCTGTGTAAAGGTAAGCAAGATTTGTGAAGCATAAAAATGTCGTCCTCTCCTGGTATCAAACCTCGGGAGCATGTGGACCTGGTGTACATCTCCATAGAGACCGCCATTGCCCTGGCCTCTGTGCTGGGGAATGTGCTGGTGGTGCTGGTTGTGTGCGTGAACCGGGCTCTCCGAGACACCACATTCTGCTTCATCGTGTCTCTTGCTGTGGCTGACATTGCTGTCGGCATTCTGGTCATCCCTCTGGCCATCATAATTAGCATGGGATTTAACACTCAATTCTACACCTGCCTCTTCCTCTCCTGCCTGCTGCTCATCATCACCCAGAGCTCCATCCTCTCCCTTCTGGCAATCGCCATTGACCGATACCTGAGAGTCAAGATTCCTATCAGGTAAGGAAATGTTGTTAAATCAATTTCATCAGTGGTCTTAAAGGTGTAGGCGCTAATTGATTTAAACAAAAAGAAGAGATACGTTTTGATATTATTGTCATGGTTTATGTTACATTTGCTCTGTTTAGGAAAATATTGCAGTATCCTTAAAGTAATTTTTCATGTGGTTGTCTGCTTGTGGTAAATAAAATATCTAAAGTGAGGAGCAAAAGTGTCAGCACATTCCCCTACTAGTTGTAGATTCCTCCAGTCAACTGCACCGATATTTCAACAATAAAACTCTGATCCAAACTGTTTTTACCCCCCAAAAAAGTAAAATTCTCTAAAATAGGATAAGTGCACATTATGATTAGCCTGATTTCACAGGAGATTACTTGTTCCAGTAAATGGTATCGGGTCCTGTTCAGCCAGGAAGTATGACCGATATGACTAAAAGTTAAAATTATCTCAGCTCTCAGATCTTAAATGCTTGCAACATTCACTAAATTCAATCAGCAAAACCTCATCTTATCTAATAATGATACCTTCGTAGTTGCACAATTTACTGAGCTGCAGAACAAACTGGGGTCAGAAGCACCAATAGTCTCTTATATTACTTCTTTATTCCTCTTATTTTATTTTATTTAGCATCAGAGAGCTAAGTGTGCACCAGTCAATCCAGACCAGGTACTTCTCTGAGCTGATGTCTGACATGGCGCCATATATCTTTGCCTGGTTTAATGCAAATCAATGCACTGGACATCGGAAGCTTTTAAACAAATTAAAATGTGCCTGTCTGCTGACTGACAAAGGCACCGTTTGTTGAGGCATTTTGGCAGTCGCCTCGTTCTACTTTTTGTTTATCAGTTGGATCTGATGTGAAAAAGAAAAAGTGGCTCTTGGAAAAGCCTCTTTGAACAGTAACCAATAGACTGCCGTTTGTTCAAAGAAATTATCATGCAGGATTATTAAAATTAAAAACGTTATTTTTTTTCATCCCTGCTCAGGTACAGCACCATCGTGACCGAAAGGAGGGCGTATGTTGCAGTTTGCCTGTGTTGGATCCTCTCGTTTCTGACTGGATTGGTTCCAATGATTGGGTGGAATAACCGTGATGCTCATAGAAACTCCAGCAGCATCATCTGTAATTTCACCACCGTCATGAGGATGGACTACATGGTTTACTTCAACTTCTTTGGCTGGGTGGTGGTACCGCTGTCCGTAATGATTGCTCTGTATGCAGAGATCTTCAGGGTGATCCGACGACAGCTAAACCGGCGAGCTGAGGCGACGTGTGATGGCGACAGGTACTATCAGAAGGAGCTGAAGCTGGCCAAATCTCTGGCCTTGGTGGTCTTTCTCTTTGCTGTGTGTTGGCTGCCGATACACATCATGAACTGCATCACCTTCTTCCGCCGGGACTGTAAGGTACCCAAGATTGCCTTTTATGTAGGGATTTTTATGTCCCATGTGAACTCAGCACTCAACCCAATGGTGTATGCATTCAGGATAAAGCGTTTCCGTGTCACGCTGCTCCAGATCACTCGACGTTGCATGTTATGTAAACCCACAGAACCAACTCTGAGGAGCAGCATACCAGCCCTGGAGAAGACGGATATGTAACAAAGTCTAAATGGTGTACAGTGAGATTAATCCAGTGATATTTGGAATATTTACCGATTAACAAGCAAATAAAGCACTTAATTTAATCCTTTTCTTTTTTTAATTAGGTGATGCAGAACAATACAAGACAAGTGAGGGATATGACAAGAGCAAAAGTATGTAGGAGGGTGTTGAAGGGCCCTGCTTGTGTATGTGTGTGTGTGTGTGTGTGTGTGTGTGTGTGTGTGTGTGTGTGTGTGTGTGTGTGTGTGTGTGTGTAATTCGAGTGTATGCTTGTATTCCCCCCCCTTTTTCCTTCCTCCCTTCCTTTCCTTTCCCTTCCTCTATACCCCTATTCCTATTTTTGTCCTTCTTCTTTCCTTCATTCCATTTTTCTTTTCTTTTCTTTATTATTATTATTTTTCCTTCTCCTCCTATATATTCTTTCCCCTTTCCTCCCCCTCTTTCTTTCTAAATATATTATCTTTTTTTTTCTTTTTTTACTTCAGTCATTGTGTGATGCAGGGGTGCCCCTGTCTCAGTTGGACTACCACCATCAGCCTGCATTATTTAGTTTTAACTGAATGCTTCTTTAATTGATTCATATTGAATTTTATTATATGTATTTCAACGTGAAGTTATCAAGAAACATTTCATGTTCAAAGGTTTGTTGCGTAAATTCACCAGAATAAAGATACAAAGCTTCTTCATTCAGTATATTTATGTTGTAGTTCATATTTCACCTTTACAACCATTTAGCTATTTAAAAAAGCCGTGCATCTCTGGTCATGGGACAACTCAAAGAGCTTTTGGGACATTCACACATTTAAACACACATCCATCCATCTGAATAAGCTACATGGCGATGGTGGCTAATCAGACTTGTTGATAACTGACAATCAAATTCCTCATTTTAAAGATTTATTTTTTGCTCAGTTGAAAGGTGCTATACATATCAAACAGCAAGGGGCAGTAGAACAACATCCCTATCTGAGTTTAATGTACAACATCTGGAGGAAGATTCATAAAAATTACCAGGGAAGCGGTATTACAGTATCCTGGGTACCAATTTGTGATAATCCTTTTTTTAAATATAGCTAAGAAGTCAATCTAATGAAATGAGTTGCATAGAAGTGACGTTTCTATAGTGGCTGATTTATACACAGATGTTGAATTCAAATCATATATGGATCTGATCTGAATGAAGATATCTCTCCTGCCCAATTACCATGGTGGAAATATTTCCTATTAAGAAGTGCAGTCATAGCCCTCATAATAGTAACACATGTTGCAAAACATTTGAACAAATGTTTATCAGGACAAGATCAATCTAAAATAAACACAACTGGAATCTATAAAGAATTCATTGTTAAAATAACATCAAACTTTCAGGTAACAAGGAGACTGTGGAGTACAGATTTAGGTTGTGATATTACTGAAGAAGAGGGCTGCGTGGAGCCCATATAGTCTCTAAGGATGTTTACTTAATTATTATGATTTGATATGTATGTATATGTGTAAATGTTGAGACTGGGAACATGTTCGGGGGAGTGGGAATTTGCAGGCAGGCCTGAGAACATATAACTTCTGAATAATCTATGTTTGGAGTTTTTTCTTTTCTTTTTTTTCTCATTGCTTGTTTTTGTTTTTAATTAAAAAACCCTTTAATAAAAAGAGAATTCAAATGTTTTTTTAAAAGTGTGTACTTGTTATCGGCGTAGATTACAAGCCAAAATATGAGAGAGATGAAGGTTTGTCAATCCATGCTGGATATGATTCAATATTTTATTTTTCTAGTAAGAGTTAGCTATATTTATTCATTTACTTTATTATGTATGTATATTTTATTATGTAATATTTTATTATTACATTAATTGGATCCCCAATAGTTGTTCCACAGTAACAACTATTCTTCCTGGGGGTTCCAGCTTTGACTTGTTGGTGGTAAATCTAGGGGATTAAGGAAGTTAAGACTCCTCCTCTGAGCTCCATAAAGGTCTGTTCAAAGTTTAAATGAAAATCATTAGATTGTTGAGATGTTTAAATGTGGATCAAAGTTGTGGAAAACAAAACAACCCACACTTGCCCTTCACTGCCGTGATGATATGGCTGAATATAAGGCTGGATTTAGCACAAGTCTGAATTGCATACATTGCACCAGTTGTCATTGTTATCACTGCTTAAGACGTCTGCAGGAACTTTGTGCCAGCGCCACAGGAAGATCCAAAATAATATTTCACAATTGAAATTGTTAAGTGATAGGCTCATGTCAACACTCATGTCATACAACCCTAGAGCTACTTTACAGTTTTTTTTTCATTTATTTAGAAAATAATCAGTTTTAAAAAGTCTCCTATTAAGCAGTCCTACCTGAAATTAACTCGTTACCCCGCAAAACGTTCCAGTTTTAGTGGTGGTTTAGATTATTGAGATGGATCTGGAGTAGCTTTGAATTTGTGCTGGTAATTAACTATGTAAATAGTTAATAATGGCTTTCTGAACCTTCTTGTAGGTACAGGAGGCCCTACTAGCTTGTCTACGGGGCTGATGACCCTTCAATCCAACAATAAAATAATGGTTGCACATTGGATGTTCGTGTGAACCAAACCAAATCACTTAAATCAATAGATTGTTCTGGACTTTTATGTTTCCACAAAATCCATCCAACATACTGTACAGAGAAGTGAGAAGACTTTTCCTGGAATGCAAATTAACAACACAGTCACTAAACCAGATGTAACAAACAAAATCCAAGCAAAGCAGCTATTACTCTTTTATCACGGGATGCAGGCCCTTTCTTCAGCTAATTCAGCTGGTTTAAGCCATATTTCAGTAGCTGCAGAGAGGCTCATAAGCATTTCAGTAAATTAACCCCAGAGCATTACAGTACGCTGCAGTGATTTATTCCAACTCTAAAGCAGTGTAATTCTGCTTTGTCATCACTTTGATTTCTGCATCGTTTGTCTCCATGCCACATTACCTCCACTCAGAGAGACGAATACACCAGAAAAAAGAAAAGTGTCTTTATATGGTTCATGATTTGCGTTAGATATGCGGATTATGTTTTCTTATGTATGCAGAGATGCTCATTTAGCTCAGATTTTTGCACATTCACCTGTCAGGTATATGCTGTGGCCACCTAACATATCTTTGTCTGAAACCTGCCCCTCTCTTTGTAAGGCTCTGTCCCTCCCCAACAAACCAGTCTATGAGTATTTTACCATCTGTCACCTTAATCCTTGTCGAGGGATTTGAAACTGCTGAGTGTGGCCTAATCCTCGTCTTATGAGATACTCAATATCCATCGTGACACATACAGTCATTGCACTACACACTCCTCTGGCTGGAGGTCTGCTCACTGCTGAAAAAGGCACAAGCATGGTGTAAGTGAAGAGACAAACACCCAGGAGTCTACAGTTTATGTGTGCATCCTATTTTCATCCTGGTCTCATCTTCTTTAAGGTAAGGACCCTTCAACTTCATGGGAAATCAGCAGACTTTGGGAGGCCTCCTATGAGGCCTTTTTAGTACTTCTTCAACTTGTTATCATTTAAATGTTTTCTAAAATACTAAAACAAAAAAATTATTTACAGCATCAAACCACTCCAAAATGTCTGACACGGACCAAACAGGACATGACCAGGAGTCTCCAGAAGACGACATGGATGAGAAAGAAAAAGCCTTGATACACATCAGTAAAATAATTGAGGCTCGCCGTGCGCTGCCATGGCAGCAGTGGACATTCAGGGAAAAAATGACCTTTTACGTGGATCGCTTCTTCCTCGGGGTCATGGTCATTTTTATTCTGATGTTACTGGGAGAGTTTGGCTATAAAATGTGGTATGTGACAAACGTGAACAAGATTGCAGAGTTTGTGTCAGATTCTGTTGTCTTCCTGTTTGACTGGCTCTTCACCCAGGAGAGACAGGAGGAGTTGGCTGAATTGTAGCTTGTTATTAGACAGTTTATTGCATTTTATTTCAGTGTTCTCTTGTTTGAGGCACTTATAGTATGTAATAACAAATGTCCATGGAACAATCAACACATTAATTACATCATAACTAGAGATGCATTCATATCATTGTTCTGTTACGGCATTACTATTAAAATGTGTAGCATCATCCTCTGATCAATGTGCTCTTTTGTGTATGTTGTGGTCAGGATAATACGACTGCAGAATGTATTGTGCAAAGTCATTTTTTAACTGGTTAAAAGACAACCGCAGAATATTTTATATTGATAGTTTTTTTTCAAATTTTAGGGGGAGTATGGTTTCAAGGAGTGAAATTTATCAAGTTAAGTCTCTAATCTAGTGGTTTCTTTATCCCTGTAGGGTACTAGTTAAGAATCACACTGACATGCCTCTTTGACTTTTCACCTTATGTGCATTGAAATAGATTTATTAACTCAGTTGTGAGGACTTCTATTGACCAGCGTAGAAAAGCTGTTTGCTTAAATTCTGCTGCCTAATTACTTTTATCAAGATGTATATTTTTAATCATAATTTGATACAATTTCTAAATGTTTCCAAATGCCTGTGGTTGCAGGATTTCTGTGTATAACTGAGATCCTTTTTTATTGAGATGTTACTATCTTTATTTTTGTAAAAGTTAAAAATTATTCTGTCTGCTGTAACAGTTGAGAGCAAAATGCTCCAGCAACACTTGTAGTAAGAAGATCAACTTAATTAACAATTTAGACCAACGCGTTTCGGCTCGTGGCCTTAATATTTTTGGTAGATTGTATTGTTAATGGGAAAGAATCATGACCTGCAGATGTAATTCTGCAAGATGTTGTTGAATACAGCCTTCTTTACAATTTCCTAAAAAACGTTATTTGGAAAATTCAAGTAAATACTTTATTGTTATTTGAAATGAGAAAGAATAGAAATGTATGGGAGGAGAATCAGTAGGAACAAATTTGGCTAACTTAAAATAGGCTTACTTTTTTATAAAGTCATATAGTTTGTACAGCCTGTCATCTTTGGAAATTTCTTATAATGATAAATAATTAAGAGTAAAAAATAAAAAATAAACCTTGCACATTTATCTAAATGTTGTGCTCTTTAAATAGCCTTCTAAATATATAAATTAATTAGGTTAATGGAATTAATCCGAATTAATCTGATGTCTTTCTTTTCGAATGACGACGTTTACGTCGGTCATCCGGTGGGCCAATGACATCGACGCATTCCTTTGCTCTACCACTTCCGGTACAGCCTCCGTCTCTCTTCCGGATTTCTTAGCGTGACCGACGTTTCGTGTCTCTTTAGACTTAAAAGTAAGTGAGATTTTAAGTTATTAAAACTGTTTATGTTTTTAAAGTGATGCCTCACCATGAGAGTTATAGGCGAAAGGTTGCTTTTGATGACTAT